TTTGTGGATTTTAGGTAGTTCATATAAATGAGGGTACTCGGAACCCATAGGTTTTAGAAAATTAAATTCCTCTTTATTAATAATATTCATGCGTAGCAATTTTTCTAGGTTTGAATTTACTCTTCCTTCGAGTTGGTTAATACCTCCAAATTCAACATCAGGCATAAATTCACTTTCATCACTAAGGATGGATAACATCTTACTTTTATATTCACATTTATTCATGATAAGTACGCCTGATCCTTTATCAGGTTTTAACAAGACAATATCAGAGTTTGTTTGTAGTTCTTTTAATGATTTAAAATGCTGATAAGTTAATATGCTTCTCTGCTTCGGTCCAACATTATGAGATTGGTGTGCTATATCCACTAGTTTAGCTTTACACCAGCTTTGATTATTTAAAGACGTAGGGGTTAGAGTACTCTGTTGATCATATAGATTTTCAAATTGGGCATTTATTTCCGATTCAGACATTTGCGTTATAAGGACCAAGAAATTAAAACCAAGAGAAAGTGCTTCCTTTTCGTTAGCAGATAATACAATGGAAGATAAATTAGTGGCATACTTTTCAGGACTTACTGGGAATAAATTAACTTGATTAGTAATAATACAAGATTTTTCGAGCTTTTTACTGATCCTTTCCTTTGTTTTCAAAATGAAATTACTGCAAAAGTTGGTGAATTTGATATGGCAGGCTATAGTTATTTCTATAAATCTTGTTTGTCGAGTCAGATATTCCCAAATCGACTATACAAGAATTTACGTTCAAGTAAATTACAACCAAATATTTCACATCTTATTCGGTTGTCGAAATCATATATAGAGAAGTGCCAAGACAAACTGATCAATTTAATTAAATTACACACTCAAGCATTGCCTATATTTATATATATATTTCATTATTGAAACTAAACTGGACATTAAAAGTACAGCGTAACAATAGTTCTTTCAAGTGTTCAGTCGGCAAACCTAGATCTATGTTGTTGGAATCAATGTACTCACATATATAACATATCGTTTCGGTTAAAGGTACGCTAGTGAACAAAGAGTTAACGTCAAGCGATAACATGTGTTTTCCGGAAGTATTAACGTCCTTAATACGATCAATAAATTGAAAAGTATCATGAATAGAAAATTTAGATACTTGCCTTCTAACCGGTTCCAATATTTCCGCTAGCCATTTGGCGATTCTGTGGTATGGTGAATCGGACATATCCAAAATAGGTCGTAACGGTAAACCCGGCTTATGTACTTTCGGTAGTCCATATAAGCGCGGGATGATTGAACCCATGGGACGTATGTGATTATATAAATCTTGGGTTATTATCCCCTTATTCTTAAGAGTTTTAACAAAATCTGTTAGCTGTTCTTCGATTTGCAAAGTTTTATCAACTTCTTTAAGTTTGGAGAATTTAGTACCATCCTCTAGAATTAATTTCATTTTATCCAAATATTCTTGGCGGCCAAGTAGTACTACACCAGCTCCTTTGTCAGGTTTACTTAGGATTAAATCCTTATTTCCTTTCAGGAGTATTAGCTGATCCAAGTGGTTTTTAGTTAATAGGTTATTCTTACTACATTGTGCATTAACGTATCCATGACTGCAGTCCACTAATGTGGATTTAAAGTGCTGAAAATATTTTGGGGATGTTGGCACAAGATCATGAGTTTGATTTGATAGGTTTTCGAATTGTATTTGTGTATGAAGTCTACTAGTTTTGGAGGTGCTGTTACAGAACTTCGGACCCAATGATAAGGCCTGTATTTGGACTGGTGAAAGTTTACTAGAAGAATGATTAAATACATACTTTTCTGGATGTTCTGGAAACTTCTTAATCACGTCTACGTGTTGCAATGTTTCCAAGTGTTTAAGTTTAGCTTTTTGTGACTGTTTTTCCGTAACATTAGTAACATAGTCCTCAAATTGTTTACGTTCATCTAACGACAATTCAAACAAGGCGTGACTTCTTAGAGATATGTTGCGATCTAGTTCGACTTTTCGAGATTTGATAGCATCGATATAATTGAGTGCATGACGTTTGAGTGTTTTTGCATTGGGATGAATGTGGATTCGCCTTAGTGCCTTCCAGAAACGTTTAGGATAATCATTATTTTCGATACAGCTTTCGAGAAAATTGATCTCACATTTCACTAACGCAAGCTTGACGGTGTAACGTTAGAATCCATTGAACCCTTTCATCGTCATAAGGTCCTTGCATTTCTTCAATTGACAAATAGTTCCCATTTAAACATATAATTGAAACAGGCCGTAAGATTGATCTAAACTCGGCTTTTGTGGTGTTGTATAAAAGTGTAAAACGGCGTATACTAAGGCTTATTGAAGCCTTAGCCATACGAAAATTCAACCCCCCCCCTTTGTGTATTCAAAAACAGTTTGTTCTTACCTTAAACCTACCTTGGTAATATTGACTTATTATCCAGAGTGATCAGGTTTCGAATTGTGTTCACATTTTTATTATTATTACTCTTATTATTATACTTATCTCCTCTTACCCCATTTCCAGTCTAGTTGACCTTTTATATATATATGCTCTTAACTAGTATATGTGTGTTCAGATTGTTAGAAATGTACTGCGCTAATATATCACATAGTTCTGATGATCTTCATCTCGCTGTTACATTATCGAATATTGTTATTTTGATTTACTGCATTGTATTCCCTGAACATTAGGTTTCAGTCGACTTTTTCCAAATCAGAATAGGAATACAGATCAAACAATGTATATCCCAATAAATCAAACTACAAAATGCTATAGTAAAAACACTCGAACTTTCTTAGAATTTACATAAAAATCTAGCTTCTCGATCCGTCCACTAATGCTGGTCGATTAAATGTGAACCAGTTAGCGTATCCCGATTTGATTTTGGTCAGAGCATGCGATAGTCAGGACAATATCCTGTTAATATCTCTATCTTTGAGCAGATTAGTAGGATATTGTTGTGGGGGGGGGTTTTCCGTTTTGGTTTAGTTGGATGAAATTTTTGATTGTCGAAATCAATGTATAAAATGCCACTTGGTACATGAACGCAATGATGTAGTAGGACCTAGCGATGGCTACTCACAAAACCGTCTGTTTCGGCTTAAGCCCTCGAATTATTAGAAAAAAAGGACAAGGTTACTAATAGCCAGATAAATAGGCTTTCTCATGTAAGAAAATGACCTGCTTATATAGAAATTATGAACACAAAATAAGCTTGATATAATTTAAGTGATTGGAAGAAATTAACTTGTTAGTCACTCATTCTCCAGTCAATAAAGACCTGACTGTAAAGTCTAATCTTTGAGTATCGTATCAGATATGTTGTTGCAATTCAACTGCATCAGACTGACCTGTCTGCTCTTCATAGCTGTCCAGATTCTTGTCATTAAAGACATTGTATTGTTTTTGTGCCCTAGATTGAGCTCAAATAATACTGATAGTTAAATGTCGAAAATGTCAAACAAAATATCAACTAGTATTCTACGATGCTTCTCGCTAGTGAAGTTGCTTTCAAATTTTAACGTGTAATACTCAATTTGGTAGACCAACTAACACGTCATAGATAACGTAACCTATTCTTTTCAGGATTCGATTGGCTATTCATGTAAGGCATTTGTTACGGTAATTCATAGCAAATACTTTCTGACAGTAAACAATCATTTTCATGCTTCATAATGTTGTTTGAATTGCTTCTCCATGGATGTTTTGTTGAAGTTCATACGATGGCAGCGGACCAATAAAATCGAAAGATGTACACAATTATTTACCAAGTAAAGCTTCTATCAGAAAGATGTCATTGGGTGATTGAAGGTTCGGTGTAGTGTAGTAGATGAACAGGAACCCACCTAGGATCTCAATGGTCCTCGCCCGTTAGATGTCTTCAGAGAGTCTTTGAATGTACCAACAAAACGCTCGACTCGACCGTTCGATTAAGGCCGAAGCAGTGACAATCGGATATAATTAATACCGTTCCGGAGACAAAATTCGTCGGACAGCTAACCCAAACTACTTTTCGTTATTACTAAGTCTTGGCTGTCGTGGTTTCTTTGCTGGGATAATTTCAGTTAGGTTGGCTGTCAAAAGAATTTATGGCCAGTCGCAGTTACAACATGTGTTGTAAATTACTGTTGGGGTACACTATCGGGTCGTTCTAGGTATTGGAGCATTTCTGTTGACAAGCTCTTTCCATCTATATTTTACACTTGATTAACAGTCAAAACAAAATGCATTTCATTTGTGGCTGTTCTTTAAATGGTTCGGTTTGAATCGTTACTGAAATACAATCATACACGAAGACAAAATCGAAATCGAAACCTCAGTTGGATTTATATCAAAATACAGCACAATTTGTCAGAAAATGATTCCATTTTATTTGATAAATTAATATCCGTGTACAAATTTGCTAGATAAGTAAAAATATATGCAGGTTGCTAATCATTCAGTGGTTCCAGTACTTTATATATTAGTCGATTTTCTGTTCATTATAACACAAAAAGGTAGTCGTTTTGTTACTAGTTTGAGACAGAATTCGGTAACAAAGCTTTTAAAATGCTTAAGAAATTGTCCGGGAGACTTTTTCAAAGGGAAGTTTTATTCAATTAACCGAAAACTGTCATCGACACCCACGTCGATATTGTGATAATGTCTCAGTTAATGATCATAAGACTTAACATCTTTTGTTTCAATGCCTGTTTTTTGTGTGAAACAGAATAGCATATCTCTCTATTCTTTTATCTTAGAATAAACATACAACTTTGTGTTTTGATTTTCTAAATTTAATCCCTTCTCAATGATATGTATTGCTTGATCCTTATAGATTCTCTTCATTTAAAAAAGGTCACTTTTTATCATATTTGGGTTGAATTTCCTATGAATTAATGAATTATGTTTAATTGTAACTCAGATTTACGTTTGATGTAATTTATTGTTTGTATAAATATGTCTTCTAGTTATAATATTTATAGTCTTGTTTAATTTTATACTTTGAATATTTGTCAGGATCGATATCGTAAAGCTATCTTTGCAGCCAATTCAACTTTAGAAACTGTTGAAAAGGCTGAACTTACTAATCGTTCGTCAAGAACTGAAATCGGTAACAAGATTTCCAATTTAGAAGAACAATATCAAAACTCATTGGAACTTACTCAAGATATGACGAGGTATGCTAGACTTCTAGCGGAAGAAGTTCAACGTGGAGCTGTTAATGCTGAATTACTTGAAAATTCATCAAATAAATTAATCTCGAATTATTCTGAACTGAAAGAAATGGCTGGACATATGAATCAGTCGAAACATTTAACATCTTTAGCTCGTCGGCGTCGTTTTACAGAAAGAGTGCTTTTCTTTCTAGCATTTTCATTTTTCTTTTTAAGTTGTGGAACTATATTTTTACATAGGATACCTATGGGACATTGGTTTTTGCCATCTAGTTATTAGTTTTCTAATAATTGTCTAGTTTTCTATGGAATTATTTATGCATAATTAAATTGAGTTACTTGTACATCTTCTTTGCGTTGTCCTTTACCTATTACATTATTTCCTTAATTCTGTTATCTCGATTCCTCTTCGACTTTTTTTCTATACTCTTCAATTCAATCTCCTGCTACCAGGCATTCCACTTCTGATTGGGGATACATACTACTTATATCTGTCAGCCCAAGTAGCATGCACCAGATGTATATTACTACAGATTCTATTTTTTATGTATAAAAACTACTGTTCGTCTTAATTACAATGTATAAATTAAACTAATACTTCCGAATGCTTGTTTTTGGTTATTTTTGTATAACTGTATGAAACAAATATATTAATTTTTTCATATGGTAAGTTACCCAAATTGATTACCTTCTTATCAGCCTAACTTAGACAGAAATCGATTGTTCAGCAGGTAGATCAATCTGTGCTAATCTTTCCAGCTTGTTTTCTAGTGGTGATCCGGCTTTTTCTTGAATGTGTTCACTGATGGGGCTGATAACACTTGTTGGGGTAGGGTGTTCCAGTCATTGACCACTCTATAAGAAAAATGTAATCCTACTCTGAGTTCATTTGATCGTAGTTTTTGAACCTTATTGCGATGGCCACTCATATTATTAGTTCTGGGGGGTGCTAAATGATAAGATATGTTAACACACAAACCATTATTCAAGATACGGAATGTCAATATCAGGGTACCTCGCGTCCCACGATAAGATAAGGAGAAAAGGTTTAAGCTCTCATTGTAGGGGAGTTTGGAAAGATCCATCGCTAACTTATTTCCTGCACACTGATGATGCTCGAGTGTAATAACATCCTAAGTAAAACATGGATTAACTATTTGGATGCAATACTTTAGGTAAGGTTTTACATGCATGGAAGCTATGTATCGTTGACGGCATACTGTTAACTATTACCGTGTCCAATGTGCATTAGCATATTCCCTAGAAATAATTTCCAAACTCCAATTTCGTGACCGTCTAGCTAATTCGCCTGGATTAGCTGGGAGATCAAGAGGATCAATTCTACTTATTTTTCTCCAGACTTTGACATTACCTGCAAGTAATTGTTGACGACAACAGTCATGGTAATTTTATTGATGTAGAGAAGAAAAAATAGGCAGTTTAAGATGATGCCTTCGGAAACACTACTTTTAGCTAGTTTTTATCCAAATAGTGTACTGTTTACCTTCACTCTCGGTCAGAGGGACTTTCTTATTCACTCTTGTATTTTATCTGATATTCCAAGGCTGGAGAGCTTTTGCATAAAGCTTTAGTAAGACACCTTATCAAATGGCTTGCTGAAATCTATGAATATCACATCGACAGAAAAAACGCTATATTCGCCCGCTGTCTAATCCTCCGTTACAGTCAGTAAGTTAGTTAAACATAAATGTCTATCTCAAAACCCGTGTTGCTTAGAAGTTAACATGTTATATGATTCTATGTGACCTAATAACTTATCCTGAATTACTTTCTCAAATAAATTGACTACTATGATAGACTAACAGATATGTAGTTAGACACGATCTGTCTCTTTCCATACTTAAATATAAGGTTAACAATACCATCCAATCCCTAGGGAGTTGAGACATGCTGAACAACACTGTGAGTGGTTCTGAAATGATATTCGTGGGGGGAGGGTGACAGCAGTCGTGATCGTAACCAATCAGAGCCAGGTTTGCAGCCAACAAGCGATGGAAGAACGGCCTTCTCAGTCACAAGCACTGGTCTCAGCAGTGTGTCTACGAGGAGTTTTAATAACAATATCCTCGGGTAAACCTAGCTGAAATAGTTTTAGAAATTAAGCTTTGGCCGCATCTGACTCAGCCACTGCGTCTGAATTGTCGTATAACAGTAATGGAACAATCCCATTATTTCGTTTCGTTCTCTCTACAACTACCCACCATTCTCAGACAGTGTGAATGGAACATTGAAGTAGGCCCCCCGACTCTAGCTGAAGTCCATAAGACTATAGTTAATCTGAAACGAGGAAGGGCAGCTGGTCCAGATGGATTGGCTCCAGAGGTCTTTAAGGATGGTGGTCCAATTTTAGCGATCAGGTTGACTAATATTTTAGCTAAGATCTGGGAGTTAAACGTTATTCCATCTGACTGGTCACAGTCACTGATCGTCCCAATATATAAGAGAGGATTAAAATCATCCTGTGACAATCATAGAGGGATTAGTTTGATTAATATAGCATCTAAAATACTAGCCTCGATAATTATCGGACGCCTAACTAAGACTCGTGAACTGCAAACACGGGAAAATCAAGCTGGCTTCGGACCTGTTCGTGGCTGCATCGACCACATATTCACCATTCGTCAGGTTCTAGAACACAGGCATACTTATCGGCGTCCGACAATGGTGGTCTTTCTTGACTTAAAAGCAGCATTTGACTCTGTAGACCGACAGGTTGTGTGGCAGTGTCCGTCATTCGAAGATGTACCTTAGAAGTACATAAACCTTGTGAAGGCGCTTTACTCGAACACTACTAGTCGAGTCAGAGCTTCTGGCGAACTGTCATCTGCTTTTGCAACCTCAAGTGTTGTCTGTCAAGGCTGTCGACTTTCTCCATTTTTGTCTAACTTCATCATAGACCTACTGATGGAAACAACGCTCTTATTGACCGAAATTTCGGGCATTGATCTCACTCCAGGAGGTCCAATTATCGACTTAGAATACGCAGATGACATAGTCCTGTTTGGTGAAGGCGCTGAAAAAAATGCAGTCTTTTGGTAGCACTACGCGACAATGCCAGCATGTTTGGAATGCGCTTCTCATCCTCTAAATACAAGTTGTTGCTTCAGGACTGGTCTGCGTCAACACCTGAACTAAGGATAGGGAGTGAAGTAGTCGAACGCGTTGACAACTCCACTTACCTAGGAAGTCTGATCAGCCCTAATGGGTTGGTGTCTGACGAAATATCAGCATGGATTCGAAAAGCTCGTTTGGCTTTTGCCAACTTACGTCACCTATGGCGAAGGCGAGATATCCGTCTATCAATAAAAGGACAAGTATACTGCGTGGCAGTTCGTTCTGTTTTAATTTACGGCAATGAAACATGGCCATTAAGAGTAGGAGATACTCGTAAGCTACTAATATTTGACCACAGATGTCTTAGAAATATTGCTTGCATCTGTTGGTATCACCGGGGAAGTAATAGTGAGATTCGACGCATGGTATTAGGGAATGATGGTAAATCAGTTGATGAGGTTGTGAATCTTCATCGACTGAGATGGTTGAGCAACGTGTTACGTATGCCTGAACACCGATTACCACGACGCGCAATGCGGACTAGTGTTGGAGGCGACTGAAAGAAAGTTAGGGGTGGCCAAACCAAAACATGGCATCAGTGCTTGAAGTCACTAACTTCTAGTCTGAGCCATGTTAGTAGATGTAGACTATTTGGTTGGGGTCCGCGTGACTATCGTAACCAATAGTTGGAGACTCTGGGTAACATGGCTCAGGGTCGATCACAATGGTATCGGTGTATACACTCTCTGTCTTCCCTTTAACTATGAGACTAAAGTTATTTTGTATCTTTCCATGTACGTACTAAATCTTTCTTCCTATACTATATCCTTATATGCAATTTTTCCTTTATATATTACACCATTGAGTTAACTGCTTCTATGAATCTGGTGTCCATCTTGCTGTGCTAATGAGGTATGGCAACTTGGATCGATGCATATATGTGCCTGGTTCTACATTGTAGCTGACTGACTGTTTCGTTCTCTTCTCTATATATTATAGCAATCGTTTTGGCTCATGTGCCGACTTTCCTAAGTAGTGCTAGATCTGGCTATACCCGTTTCACATAAATTCCTAATCTTTCAGTGCTCTCACTTGAACCATTCATGACCCGCTGTTAAGACCAAGTTCTAATCGTGCTTCCTACTTCACAATGATTTTCGGATATCTCTATCGATGCATGCAGGTCAACGTGATGGCTTACGTAGAGCTGACCTGCTTGAGCATCTGGGCTACCTGTTCCTGCCATCTAGATATTTCAACAAGTTATCTATTGTTGTTTGTTTTAATATATCATTATGTTTAATAATCGCATAACCTATTCTGCTGCGTTTCTGAAAAGTGTACAACCTTTCGTTGTCAAAGTTACAGAAAACTCAATAAGAGACAATATGGTTGCTGGCAATGTACAACGAAAAGAATGTACATTATTCAGTTGTTCATTCACTGAAGTGCTAACATCTAACTGGCGATTCCTCAATATTTATCGCCAGGACCGACCAAGAAGATAGAAACGGAAACTTGTTGAAATACTTTGCGCTGAGAATTCTATATTGTACCAAAATTATAATATTGAATAAAGCTAATAATAATAATAATAATAATAATAATAATAATAATAATAATAATAACGGATTGGCTGCGGCTTTAAACTCAATCAACTCACCTTCAATTAACTGATTAATTTATTGAAAGAACAAAATCTCTGATTACCGGAATGTTAGCCCGCCAGATATTGGGACGAGGTGTGGCAGACAGACATATACTGTATATTATCTATTCAAACATTTAAAGTATGATCGCTGCTCGCCAATCGGGGTAAGAAATCAATGTCGGAAGCTTTATAACGTTGAATGAAGACAAGGTTCAACAGTGATTGTTCATATTCTAAGTTATAATATGCCAGTTGTTTGATAATTTCTACAAGTTCAAACCGAAGACTAGTTAACAGTAGGTTTCAGTCTAAACGTCCACCTGAAGTTGTAGGCTCTAACCAGTTGATATGTGGCTCATTGATATCTTTAGAGATGAGATAAAAACCAGCCTTACTCCACGTTCAGATATGACTTCAGAAAAAGTCATCAGCAAGAGAAATTGTGCTACGATGTATTCCTTCTGTGGTTACCAACTGTCAGTAGGACATGGGTTAAGTTGTTGCATGTTCCATAGAGAATTACGTTATAGAATACTGACTGACCTATTTCTGGTCAATCAGCACTAATTCATAAGTAGAGGAGACTACAATGTTCTTGTGCAAAAATCATAAATATACTGACATTTTTCTTTCTAACCTTAGTTAAACTGCTGTTTTGTTTTTGGAATATTAGTAGATTTCTATCTAAACACTGTTCTGATTTAGGGGCCAATGGTCAAAAACTAAATATGCGCCAGAATGAGAGTTTATTAACATATAATACAAAGGAATCAGTAAGTGCAATCAAATGAAATATAACTGTGATAAATTTTACTTGTAAGATGGTCTCTCATATTTAGTGCGACTGGATATGTCTATTTTTGTGCACTGATCAATCATTTCCTACTTTCACCAGACAAATAACAAGCTTCTTTTTTAATTGATATTGAGTTAATTTTAATAAGAAACTCGTAAATATCTTAACTGATAATGTCTTAGTTATTGAATCACTTAGTTTATAACTAAGAAGTCACAAATTCAAATATCATTACACCTAATTAGGATAATATTACCCTCCTTTATACATACAATACGTAACTCAAAGTTGAACTCACCAAATAGTACTTGATAAATGAGTTACATTAAAATTGTAGTGAACTATTAATAACTGACTAAGTGTTTATAGTAATTTGATGAGAATATAACAAATAATCCTGATTTATCTATTTACAACTAGTCTTTATCATTAGATAAACTAGGTAAAGAATATTTTATGAAATCATTAATGATTATTAAACATTGTTATTATATTCTATTTTGTGTGAATTAATTAGAAAATAATCGAGTTCAAAGGATTATTATCAAATGGCCGTTCAGTGCTTCCGAGTTTTCCATGGTGGTCTAGCTTCAATGGACTCATAATTACAATTATTGAAATTATTAAATTTACATTTAGTAATTCATTATTTTTCCTTTATCAGTTTAGGTGTTGTGGAGATTGTTAAGTTTTTGATTAAAATCATGAGTCAATTGAAGCTAGACCACCATGGAAAACCTGCGAGCACTGGACAGCCGTTTCGTCCTAGTATGGGACTCCTCAGCAATGCGCATCCACAATCCCGCACCCCGCGAAATTCGAACCCAGGGTCTATCAGTCTCACGTCAGACGCTTAACCAATTAGACCACTGACCCGGCATCCAATGGTGTTAATGTCTAACCTCAACTAATCCACGAAATTGCGCGACCATCTTCCATTGTACTGAGGTAGACATCTGTTTCTACCCGACATGGATTAACTCCTTTACTTATTTCCGACAACGTTAAGTGCGAATAGAACGATAACCAATAAAAAGCTGCGAAATAAATGTATGAACAAACCAATCAGAAGAAAAGATGAATACACAACTTACGTATATATATAATATGGTTAGATAAACACACATAAAAAATAAAACACACACACACCAAAATACATAGTTATGATTGACCACTTAAGTCTGGGGAAAGAATAAACAGTAAGAATATTGATATTGAAAAAGAAAATTACACAATTTAACAACACAAAACGATAAAAAATATCCTAAATTAACAAAACAACTGGGGGGGGAGAGGAAAATTAACTACCACGATTTATTTATTTAATTGTTTTAAAGACACGTTGTTACGTATACAAAAATAGCAAAATTATTATTTTGCAGTTAGTTTGTTCATAGAATTGTCTGTATAACAGTTAAAATGCAAAGAAAATAGAACTGTGAAAACTTTAAAATCATTTCTAATGATTATTGGAATTCTTGTGCGTTTTTTTTGTTGGTTTTAGTATGCTGCATATGATTGTTACTATTATTATTATTATCATTACTTGGCAACAAAAAGTATTGCCTATTTATTTGTTGTTGTCAGTTAGTTATTTTCGAAATCCAATGAAGGCATTGAACCGTAATTATGATTTTATTTCCTTTTTTGTTTTACTATTATACACAAAGAGAGAGAGAGAGAGAGAATATGTGGCATTAAACCGAAGATCAAAGAAAAGATACTGATTAGTTGATGTATTACACAATAGATTGTAAAATGGAATTTATGGATTTATGATGGTTGTTTTTGTTGTTTACACATAATTTATACCTGACTAGATGACTTTTTCGATTTGGACAAAAAGTTTCTAATTAATAATAGTCCAATAATTGAACCGATGATGAATAGAAGTAGTAGAATAAATAGACCAACAAATAATTTTGTACTGAAAGAAACTTTTGGACTTTCACTTGGTAAATGACCAGATTGATCTAACATGTAGCCTAATGCCCAGCTAACTGATTTATCATTAACCTATAGAGGAAAAAGAGTATTCAATAGAAATAAATAAAAATGAAATCATACTACTAATAATGATTATAAGTAACTTTGAAAAGTCGTTTATTTTTCTAAGCTGCTGAAAGAAGCAGTAAAAGTGAACTGTTTAAATACCCTTATAGAACTGATCTACTATTTAAAAGAATATTTGGGATCATTTCATGAATTTTACATTTTGATGTCAAGTATATATATATATATATATATATATATGAGCATCTAATTATTATGCTCTCTCGTCTTATTCCTGTATTCTATCGCAATAGAGGATTACTGTTGGAATATTGTGTGCCAATCGCTGTTCTGTCGGGTCTGTCGTAGAATCCATTCGTTTTAGAGTAAGCTCAGATGTTCCGTAATTAGTAATTACCATAAACCCATACTGCTGTATCCCGATAAGAATAATGAATGATAATTTTTGGGGTCCATTTATGGACCAATATTATGAGTACGTTTTTATCGTATAATTGTTTTGTAACTAAACTGTTCATATTCATGCCCCCCTTATTATGAGCTTTATTTCGACCTATGAACTATTATTATACGATTTGCCTTTCATGAACTATTCCCTGTCCGTTAATCGGTTCCTCCCTCATTCACAGCCACATCTGGCTAATTCTTGTACAAATGTTGTTCATATTTTATTGGTACGTTGTGGTCGGTTTGTTTAGTATATAAACTCAGTATGCTTGAAATATAATGATTCATATCTCAGAGACCGAGACTTGCGTTCTAGACTCAACTGGCTAGGCTAGACAGGGAAGCAGGGCCAATCGGGACTCTAGGTCGTTCTTACATGTTTTACGCGTCTTTGGTCCGATCGATAATTCGCTACAGTCTAATCTGCAGTCACAAGTCATAACACATACTAAACTCAGCCACAGTATAAAATACTCTCAGTCTAGAACGAAATAAGCCGTTTCATTTTCCCTGATTATCCAGATGACAACAGTCTGTGATGAAAGCTATCTGAATAGTAATGACAGATGAATTTTAAACCATTCATAGGATAAGATAAAAGAATGAAACACAAATGTCTTGTTTCAGTTATTATCGTCTCAGTTATTTAGTGTAGAATATAAATCAATAGTAGTGAATAAAAAAATCTCTCCTAGAGCTAGAATATGAGAAACGTCAACAAGTCACATGATCAGAAATCAACTGAACTAGACAGACAGCTTGATTACAAACACAGCTGAAAACAATAAAACCTAAACGGATAATCAATCATAATAAAAGCTGCTCAAGTTACATGAAAATCAAACATTGATGATGCTAACCAGAGCAACAGTGAAATCTCGATCATATCACCTAACATAAAGAACTCAACAATACCAAAAGTTTAAGTTACGTTTAATATTTACTATAATCAAGCACAAAATCAAAAGCTCAGTTAATTATACTAATAAAAAGAAGTGATTCATCTTACCTTCGAATCAAATGTAAGTGTTTTCCATAATTCGTCCGTAGTAAAACCATACATTTTCAATAATTGAATAATATATAAACCATCAAAACAATATTTAGCAGTAAATCCATAGTCAGAAGGTTTTGTAATTTTAGCCACCTAAAATTTTATGGTAAATAAAGAAAGACGAAAAGTAAAGTAAGAAAGTAATACAGTTTTAAAATCAAACCTCTGTGCGTGTGTGTGTGTCAGGGCTACCTGGATGTCTAAAGCAATGTAGATGAATGGAGTAGAACCTACCAACATCTGATCTTTATTTGGAGATTAACTGCATCGACCAAATAGTTTAGTACTAACATCTTTGACTGTGACGTGAGTTCATACGATATTTAAATAGTATCAGTTTCATTGGCACTGAAGATATACTCTGCTGAGCGATTTCTACACAGCATGAAGACTAAGTACAAGGTAATCTGTCAGTTTTGTCTAACCAATGAACGTTAAGACAAGGTGTACCGTGTACTGTCGTATCATTTTAACCGATGACTACATCGTGACTAAAATAAAAATTATTCAGTTTACGCCAAAATACGAGTCAGAAGCGATATTGCCTTTTACTCATAATTAAATGGGTAACTGGTAAAAGTTGTAAATCGGTTGATAAGTTAGTGGATCTTCAATCACTTCATTGAGTTAGACGTTCTTTTTCTGATTGCTTCTGCATTGATTTAATTCTTTTCTTTTTCATTTCACCTCATCGTACTGATGTGGTGCAGCAACTTGATCTAACGCATATATATGCCATCTGTATTGATGACAGCTATCTGTCTGTTAGTTGTTGTTATGTTTTGTAGGTCTCAAACTTAATACTACTACGCAGTATTACCATTCTGAATACTGTGAGTTGTAATTTAGTTTAGAAGCCCCGACGTCACACACACCCAAAAAGGGCATGGTCGATAAAATTGTATCATTTAGATCAATTCATCATGAATTTTAGTCAGAGTGACAGGTGTGAACTCCGGTTTATTATGGCATTTTTAAGTTAATATTTTCTTGTGTCAATTCAATATAAACGTTGTTCGATATGACACGTCAGAACATTCATTCAGTGTGACAATTTTATTCTCTATATTAATTTAGATGACCTACATGTAGTGTTTATTTACAGTAACCGTATGCATTTTCCCCTACATGTGTTATTATAAAATGAGTGTAAAAATTAGCGTATAAATGGTTGCATTTTAATCTAATGATGATGTGATTTGGGAACTTGTTTGGAGACGTGTTTTTTGGGGAAGTCAATAAATCCTCATTGCATCAGTCTTTCCTGTTCTTAATGAGTCTTGGAAAATATAGTGTTTTCTGTGTCACAGTATAAGCAATACGATCGAGAAATTGCAGCAGTTTACGATAGCCAAGTAAAAGCAATGAGACTGCGGACTCAGCGAAGTTGATACGTACATAATAGTAACGACTCTCCAGATACAACTCTCTCTCTCTTTATATATATATATATATATATATATATATATATATATATATATATATATATATATATATATATATCAGGAGTTAACAAATTGTAATGGTAATTGTGTAATGGTAATAAGTAACCAAGTTATCTACAGTGGTTAGCATAGCAAATGATCATTAACATAAGCTGAAATGTTGAACATCACAACATATGTAATATTTATATATCTATTACAAATAATTATATCAAGAATTCACATCGATTGATTACCGAGTAGTATCTAATAATATATTTGTCTATTTCTTAGTGTTAATCGAAATTCATCTCGCAAGTTCTAATTCTACAAAGGTTGTTATTTCTGGCAGGATTGAAGGTACGCCTTGCTGATGAGTGTCAATTCTAACGAAGCCTGAACATACAATTCCTTTCTAAGTACACTCAATCACCTCAGATCAATTACAATTTTTTAAAAAAATTAACATATAAGCGATAAGAAATTGTCAGAAAATGAATGAAAGTTTACATCTTTCCACGGTTTTTTGCAAAAATTCGTAACAGCTTCAGTAACTTCTGTTAGTGTAAATCCTGTCTTCTTGTTAGGAAATAAATACTGCATCACATAAGAAAATCCAGAATATGCCTGAAATTAAATTTAAAAAGCAGTAAATAATATGAATATTGCTTTATTGAAAAGTTTAATTATGTATTATATTACTAGACAGTAGAGAAAAAATAATAATTTGAACCGTGAAAATCAGTTCAAACATTATCGTAAACTAAAAAATCTACTCTTTTCAGCGTTAAGATAGTGTAATTTAAGTGATTCGGAGAGGTGGCCACTGTTTTAAAATTTATGAATAACAGAGATATCAGTGAAATTGATGTTCATTTGAGGCTGAAATCGTAGTGACATTAAGTTATATAAAAAAACAACTGTGTACAACTGTTTCTCACATTGCTAAAATTTGAATAACTGAAGCAAGATTTTAGAAAAATTACGCATAACTAGACACTGTCCATATAAGGAACTATTCTGTGTGAAAGAAAACATGAAATAAACGTTAAAAAGCTTGTGATTATCAGATAATAATGATCAAATATGAATAATCAATCTACTAACAGCATGCACTAGCCTACAAGAACCTTTATACCCACAAAGGCGCATTCTGAGAAATATTTCATATGCAGAAAAAGTTGATAAAGTATATCAAAGCACTGTGTCAACTCTTCACAGTACTAAGAATAGAACCCAGTAGATATGTGCACATTTCTTCAAGTTATCATATCAGAACAGCACAACGAGATGAAGTTATTAGAATAAATCCCAGAATAGTATATGTATTAACAGTATTAGTGGTAGTAGGAAAGACTACATATAAACAATAAGGTTCAAGAAGAAATGATTGGTGAACAACGGTTGAAATCAAATATAATATGACATAACTTAAGGCTTCAATTCTTTTCGATAATTCACTTCATACAATTCAAATTATTCAAGTATTTTAAAAAACCTATCTTCAATCCATTTCATTCAAATCAATTGACCAGGAAATTGGACATTTTACTAGTCAGAAAATATACTACTCATTGATACATAGTAGTAATTTTATTTTAAAGCAATTAAACTAATTTAACATACACTAAGTTACTGGCAATCTGAATCATCCTTGGAAGTTAACTAAAATGATGTGATTTGTAAATTGACATGAATCATTTTAATGTTTTTTGTTGTTATAATAATGAAGGAATCATTCATAAATCCTAAATAAATGAAACCATATTGAAATGTCTGCGGATTACTTGGTTATAATTAAATTTCTATGACTCAGCTACGAGAAGAAATACACACATTTTATAGCGAAAAAGAGAAGAAATAAAACCGAGAGAATCTCATTGTGGTGTGTAGAGGTTAGACATCATAAAGAAATAGGAAAATAAGTAAGAGTTAACAGTTGTATTGTGAAAACACCGGTTTTCAACAGTTTGGTGAAATTTTCCAACTTTATTGCTATTGATATAATAAAGCAGGTACAAGCCTGATACGTAAGCATTAATTCCATTAGAGAGTGAATGATATGTAGTTGGTATATCCTGAAATTGTTTACCTGTTAAATGACTTATAATCGTATTTGTTCCTGTATCCAATATTTTATGTATTAGCATATTATTTTGTCCGAAGAAAAGATTGGAAGCTTATGTCATTGATTCTGTTTTGTGATTGATCATTGTTTGGTTACACTGTATCATTGTGTATTATCAACAGATCGGAGCATTTCATCAATTAATTTAACAATTCTCAAATAGGTTTTTCATCATACATCATAAGAGGTTAATTTATAACGCCTAGGGAATGGAAGTTAGTGTTTTATGATGCCGCGTAAAGCAATCAACTAACTGATTACTAAGCGCTTGTAATGTCGCTTATTATGTTAAACCCATTTACCTTATTCCAGCTTTTGGACAGGCCAATCTATTCATTCTACTTGAGTCACATTTTGACCTTGTTAATTATTCGCTTATCAATCTTGACTGTTTTTATATGAGCGTATATATATGTGTGTACACTTCTTATCCCATACATTACATGACTGCAACTTAATTTTGTGTGACTGTAAATATTGATTAACGCTTGGTTAAATGGAGTTGGCTCAGATGCCTTATCTACTGCGCGTAATTCTGCTTCGATCTTTTCCCTTCGCTTCTCTGATATTTTTTCTGGACCAAAGATTGTATGAAATATACGTATTCGAAATTCATTCTCGTTATTTGACTTATTTAATTCCGTTATTGACTAACGCGATTTAAGTCGATGATTATATACTAGGATAGGCAACATATATATTTCGATAGCACTCACTCAAGAACGATCAACATATCCAATTGGAGTCAGATTCCGTCCCCACTAAACGCCACTTTATCGATTATATTACAACACTAATGGAATTTTCTTTCTTACAAGCTCAGAAATCTAATGTTCAACATTTTAAAAGTGTACTGACAGCTATGTATCGGATGATTAACAACAATTGGCAGGGTACTTTATTCTTTGAATGATTTATTGCATCGTTTTCATCATTCTGTCAGTAGTTTTTTTAATAAGTCAATTAATGCTTGGTCGTTGGAAGTATTCGACGGGAAATTTTTAACCTAGTTTTCATGCTAACTGGTATTCGTCGAAAACTGGCATCTGCAATCTTTAGGGAACTGACGTATCTTCTGGGAATCGAACCGGTACCATCCAGCTTTATAATCTGAGCTCTTCGAGCTATAACTTCCCAACAGGACTGATATAAAGTAATGAGTTAAAAATTTTATGTTTTAAACTCCTTGTTTTGGATATCCGATCGTCATAATTCCATGTTTGTATTGTTACTTATTATGCGTGAGTGCTTTTTGGACGTTATAAGTAAGTTTATTTCGAGTGGTTACTGATTTGTTAAGTTAATTTTTCTCCCATTCCTATCCCTTCCGTATTCCTAAAAAACTGCATTGCACACCATTCCCTCGATAAAAAACAGATTTCAAGGCTAAACGCACACTATTTAAAGGGTGAATGTTAATGATAGGGTGACCAAGAGCTTAATTCATTTGAATGCTAGTGATATGTGATACTGAATTTTCCCCTATAAGCTGAGACAGATCATTACAGTTTAAGGAGTGATCGTGTTGTAACGTACGAAGATTTGGGTTGGGTAAACAGAATTACACAATTTCTTTGTAAAACATGAAAATCACATCAAATACATTATTTGCTCATCTTCCTTGAGTTGTCTTCTACATACTTTATCATTCTTCCAATGATGTTGCTGTTTTGATTGCTTACTGCTGTCCATTCTCTTTTCTTCATTTCAATCTTCTGCTGGTAAGTATTCCACTTCCAATTTCTGCTATATATTACCTATGTCTATCCGTCTAAGTATCACAGTAGCGTATGCCATACTCGTTCCTCCTTTAATAAGTCGCTTTTTTAGTCGTTCCGCTCGCGCTGATCTCCATAGCTCTGTGTTAGTTATATTGACTGGTTTAGATGCCTAATTTTATGATATAGTCATCTATGTTTAGTGACCAATTAATTGATTATCAAGATCTATTCATAGTTCAAACAGTAAAGATATGTTTTTAAATAGTTAATCAATCTTCACTATATTAAGTCTTCCGTGTTTGTACTTAGTGTCGCAGGAATTGTAGTAATTTCTGTTTTCAAGTATTAGCAGTAGGACCTGGGAACACAACCATTAAATCTCAGTTATCGCCCATTTTAAATAGAAAATTCTGGAAGATATTATTGTAATGCACAGATTGCTTCGAACTGGTAGGAAAATTATTTTTTCTTACTCATAGGGTGGATATGATATAGTATGAGGGAAAAAGTCATGACAACTACTTGTTACCTTTGATGCACATTAGGTACAACATGTAAATAGATGAGTTTTTTCTCTTTTGTTAAAATTTAACCTTTGGGCAAATCGTTTTATTAGTGATTCATTGAATAACAATGATGATGGGCATTTTAACATCAAAAAAGGATGAACTATATCACAAATTCAATATACACCACATATCACTAGATCTTTGTCATGCGGGATCATATTGTTGACTTGATAGGCAATTCATTGAAAAAGATTGTTAAAAAGGAACAGGAAATCCAGGGGAAAAATATTATTCTCATTGAAATCGAGGTGTTTCAGTGGTTCATGTTCGAATAAAATAGTTGATTGTAAACATTGAAACAATTATAGCAACACTCCTACGTTTAATTTCGATTATGGTTAACTTTTTTCAAGCCCTTTTACTAACTTATTTAACAAACAACTCGTTTATTTCTTTGTATTATTGTGAACACTATCATGTCTGTATAAACATGTAGGTTTGATCACATGAGATAGACTACGCACATACCTCTCTCTAGCTTGAATGTTAGTCGCTTAAATATTACTCGATGAGTCATCCTCATCCCCATGTATGTATGTTCTCGAATCCTAATAGTAGCCTTTGGCGTGCTTCTCTGCACTTTGATTGGGTTTGACCATGAATTCACCTATGTATTTGTTCGCTCACACACATTAGCCTCTGCGGGATCATCGGTGAGCACTTCTTAGGAGTCCTATACTAAGACGAGGCGGCCTTCCAATGTTTCCAGGTTATCAATGGTGATCTAGCTTAAATCGACTCATGAATTCACTTAATAACGTATAACTCTTGAATACTAGCAAAGGAGGATAGCAAGTCCCTATGTGAACATTAACATAGAAACATTAACATAAAATGGCTTACCAAAAACTTTCCAAATGGAGCTGGTTGAAAAACATTGTTGAATGAACATGATGAAAAATTGCATTTTGTTTGAAAATGTTTTTGGATATAATTGACACATTCATTAGGTTGTCCTATACCGGTAAATGAAAAACTATTCATATTCTAAAGTATAAAGAGAAAAAAAAGTGTTTATCATGTGTTTTACTAAGATCTATCATAAATAATGAATAAGAAAATCTATTTGGTACAATAACATTGTCAAACTAATTGACAAATCACTTTAAAAATAGAAAACAACAACATAATATATTTAATAGATAAAGTAACTAACTACAGGAAACAGAACAGTAAACTGTGGATTAATGTACATAAGTGTATAGTTTAATTTGTAAATCTGAAGAACAAGCAATAACTTTCAAGCATTATTTTAAAAACAAAAACAAATTGATTAGTTTCCATCACGGATTGATTTTAGTTCGAAAGCTATTTAAAACTAAGGAGTACCGTATAGCAATTATGTCCCAGTATGAAATTCCTCAGCAGTGCACATCCACAATTCTACCGGGAATCGAATAATAGAACTTACAGGCCCAATAGTGAACGGAATATCAAGAATTGTTTGATGTTAGAAATGTAGACCTATGAATTCCTGCTTGGTATTCTAAAGGCCTGAGGTCTTAGTTTCCCCTGTCGGGTCATAGATGGGCATTTATGAAAAATCTCACCATTGTACGAAACAGTTTTCTGACACTTCCTACTTTTTAGTAGTTGTATAACTAAAACCAGTTCATTATATGAACTATGAAATTTCACAATCTTCATAAGTCACTTACAACAAAATATTGATCACTTAGTCTGATGACCTGATCTCTTACTAAATAGATATTTAACATTTCCAATATTGGATGACATATGAGGTCAATGTTAAAACGCCTACTGAGTACTAGTTACAGAAAATGTTAGATTTTTATGGTGAAAATCTGTCGAAAAATATTTTCATTTCACAGGAACATTTGAATTTTTCCCATTTACTTAAGTAGATTGACCTTTTTTGAAATATACAAACGGATTAAGTCACTAGAATGACAAGTTTTTGGGAAAAAAAAGTGGCTAATCAGTTCTTCTCTTCAGTTTTTAAATATATTGTCTAGTTAAAATTACAGGAGACAGGTTAATTTTAGACAAAGAGGTATGATAACCTTGAATGACTCTAAAATTCTAGTCATGACTTTCAGGACATTTTTCTTCAGGAGCTGTGAATGAGGCCATAGAAAAAATATGTAGTTGATCGATAAAATACACAGGTTATTTATTTTTTCATTCCACGAAATTCGAACAAGTTGAAATGTAAATTCAAGCTACTGAATTCTGTTTATTGAATGAATGACTCCACTGATGATGATGATAATGATAAATGTAACTAAAAAATCTAAATAATCAGTGCAATATTTTTGTTAATGAATCGGAAAACAATTTACTTTCCATTTCTTGAACAAGTTTTTAGAGAAATTATTTTAATAATTATGTCATCTGTTTTACTGAAGTGAAAAGAACTGGGTTTAAGACTCAATGTGAATATTATTATTGCAATGTAGGTTACATTTATCTGACGAATTTCAAATAAGATAAAACATGAATACTAGATTCCACTGCAAGGCACACATCAAATATAATAAAACTTGTGACATAACATTATATAGGTGCGACCCACTTAAGATGAAAATATGGCAACTGAGACTGGTCAATTACAATCCTGAATATCAACAACGGGAAATTACATACCTTCATTATTACTTTCAAAGTACTGTAACAAGTTAGTGGCAAACTGGACTCAGTGAGTCTGACTGACGTTTGAGGGGAAAGGTACTGACTTTAATTTTCGATTTAAATATGAAGAGTACGATGTAAGTACATCCAGGAAATGGGTCCTAAATACGACGAAACGCTAATTCTACATTCAATTGCCAGACATTTTGTCAAATCAACTAATTTCATCTGTAGTTATGAATGAATTTAGTCCTCTACTTTCTAATCCTCGATTATATTAAGGATGAATAAATTAGACAGACTATGAACTAAAACTGATCGTAGGCATAAAATGTTTTCCAAAAGACAAAATTTACTATATACGTACAGTTAACCTAGCTGAAACTAACTAAATACTAAATCAACTCGTAACTTACAGGAGGTCGGAAAATTTCCTCAGAAAATGTTTTCTTTGCATAAGTTCCAGATAAACAACTTCCAGTGAACCACTCAAGTGCATTGTACAAATCCGATTTATAGCCTTGAAGAAAACATGGATTAGGAATTTCATTTTGTAAAGGAAATTGTGCCTGTGGAGAGAGGAAAAAAATTCCTAAGTGAATATTTTTAATATATAATGATTTTCAATTGATTAAAATGTAATAATAATAATAATAATAATAATAATAATAACAATAATAATAATAATAAGTAATGGCATTTATAAAATCTTGGAGAAACCTTTGGTACTTTGAGATTTTGAACCCTTTAGGTCAGCATCACATTAAGAGTCCTATTGCAATCATCAGTGATCTCTGTTATGTTTAAGGTTTTCTGACGACTTGCTTTAAATATGTAAAACAAAGCTGAATTATTCTATTATGTTGAATAAAACTTGGTTAACGTTGTCTTTCTTCATTGACAATAATCTTTGATAGTAACCTTTACTTATTATTATTAAATTGAACCTGGCTAACATTATCGGATACATATAAATATGAATATATCGAATCTGAAATATGATGAACTAATGATGTCTATGAATAAAATTTCGCATTGATAATAAACATTTTCTCTGTACCTATTATTATGGACGGATTAAAACGTTTTTCTTTTTCCGGTATAATAAGTAATATTGGTCTGGGTAACTTAGTTTATAATACCGCTAGATTAAATACTTGAACAATCTACTAAACAGAGACTAGATCACGTTATATCAGATAGACGGTTCATGACCAAAAATGGGGAACCAGATTAAATACTAGATAAATATTTTATTTTGATGGAGTTTTGTTCCGGAAGCTGGATGGTTTGATCATGGAGCTTTCATCGTTCTTCTGAACGATATCATCAGCACAAACTTCACACAACTACAAACAGTTAATCTCAGTGAGTCCGGAATAGAAATTTATAAGATGGATAGATATCACATGTTTAATGTTCAAGAAGCTGAGAGACTGTTTGTCCAAACCTAGTGATCAATAATATCTACTTTCACTATCAAAAAATGGCTTTGAAGAGTGTTTACTCAGAAAGTGTGGTTACGGAAGTTGACATATGAATCATTTAGTGTGTATTCACTATGCAATGTGAATAAGTATGTATTCACTTCAATTAATTTTTTATGGAATGATGTTTATTATTATTGCTCAACAACTCAAATGAGATATTTATGCCGAGAATTAGAAATGCGTTGAATGATAACTTTGAAATCACTATACAGATTTCGTAAGTGACACTGCCAACTAAAATGTAATTTATTGATATTTAATTATTAATTTTATTGAAGTCGACTAAAGAAAATCAAAGTTCTAATAATAATCTGTGATTGATTGAGTTCAATCATGTCAGGAGTGTGATACATATCAACAATGAAAAAAGTATGAGAGCGGCTTTTACTTTTTGGTTTCTTAAATTGTAGAAAGATAATTCTTTTGCTTGAGATCGTCAAAGAGGAAATTGGGTTAGAAGTGGTCGTAATGACCTAGGAATGTGTATGTGTTGCCCAAGAGACAAGTGTTTCAGATCAGCCATGAAATTTTTTAGTTCTTGACGTATTGCGAAAGTGTAGAGCAAGCCTTAAGCTAACTAGGCTACATCCGAGTCGATGATCGGATGATAAAAATTAATTAGAGCTGTGAAATTCTGATGATTTATAATCCAATTCAGTGATTTAAAAGTAACACATTCGTTATGAGACCTGAATTTTTTATGTTCGCTATCCAATAGAATCATGATGGTACACACTGATGAAGAGTCCCAAGTACTATGTGTAAACGTTAACATTGAGATCTAGGTACATTCAGATGACAATTCCAAATAGAACGAAACACAAATCCCGAATTTTACTTCTAATCACATTCCATCTATTTAATATAAAATCTGTGACATCATGTCAATATAAAGGCAATGAACACAGGATGCACATATATTTCTTTTTGTTGTTGTCGTAAACTTAGATTTTAAAAAAATGTACCTTGGCAACTATGAGATTTGGAAAAATCATTATAGGAACATCTTAGGAAAGAAGAAAACCCAATATATGAAAATAAACACTTTTAGCGATAAATTTTTATCAATTATCATATTATAATAAATAAAATCTCAAAAAACATGTTAGATAGAACTACAAATATCTGAGATACTAATCAAAATTTATTATTTCCAATTTAAGAAATGAAAACTTACTACAATGGAAGTCATTAAACGTCTTTCAAACTCCGATTTTCCATAGCACAAAAAACTATGACTATATACTGAAAAATCATTTCCATATAATCGGAGTGGATAAAAGTTTAAATGTTCTGTTGGTATAGTTGAATATTGTCTAGGAACAAATGCAATTTGTGTACTAGCTCCACCAAGATCCAAAGAACCAACTGTATCAGTAGGATTTGTTTGTTTACCCTAATCATATTTGAGCGTAATAATTAAAAAGAAATAAGTTAATTATAAAGAGATTATAGGATATGTGCGCAACCGTCTTTCATTGATCAGTTTATGATTCGAATGAAACTCAGCAGTCTCTATAACCCCATACAATTTTCATATGCTCAGTAGTGATTGGTGTTGAGGGGGAATTACTTGAAATCTAGTGAAAGGCCGTGACCAGTGGAGTTCAACCAAAGACAATGGAAGATAATAACTCGGTTTCGTGGTTTGGTTGAATTTAGATATTAACATCACTAAACACTGGCTTGGTGGTCTTGAGGTTAAGCGTTCGCGCATGAGACCGAAGGTTCTGGGTTTAAGTCGCGCGTGCGGGCTCGTGGATATGCACTGGGCCAGGGTTAAACGATAGTTCACAGCCTCTATGTTTATAATGTTGGTCTAACATTGATCGGTCCATGATTTTAATGAAACTCAACAATCTCGACGTTCCTATACTGACAATCATGTATATCTTATGATGTCTCCTATACAAAAAAACTAGGCACAATGCTCGATGGTCCCAGTGCAACAAATAATAATAAAACATTCTGAAAATAATTATAGAATGTACACCAGTTTACAGAAAAGAACATGTGAGTAAAAAAGTAATGAAACATCTAATTGCTTAGCAACAGGTTTTTTAACCAAACAGGAAAAAACTAAGATTGGTGTAATAAAACCACCAAATACAGCCTCCATACATTAGGCTTTCAACCAAACCTTCTGCATAAGATCCGATGGTATTCAAGGTTTCAAAGTTGAAGTACGATATCTGAAAATCTGGTGTTTAAACTCGTCGGTCTACACAAACATTTAGGCTATTTATTTTTCAAATATGCAAATATTACGACTGACTATCAGGTTTTAGATTTGTTTGAACTGAATAATTATGAATGTTAACACATATATACTCATACTATAATGTAGAAGGTTTACAAATTACCGGAAGAGATGGAAAGTTTCACGTATCTGGGTAGCATCATCGCTGAATGTGGGAAATCTGATGCAGACGTAAAGGTAAGGATTAGCAAGGCAAGGATAGCATTTCTACAGTTGAAGAACAAATGGAACTAAAAACAACTGTCAACCAACATAAAAGTCACAGTCTTCAATACGAATGTCAAGACAGTTCCACTGTACGAAGCTGAAACGTGGAGAACTACTACGGCAATTATCACCAAGAAAGTTCAAGTATTCATATACAATTGTCTATGTAAGATACTGAATATCCGTTGACCGGAAAACATCATCAGTCTACTGTGGTAAAGAACAAACCAGGTTCCAGCTGAGGAAAAAATTAGGAAAAGGCGCTGGAAGTGGATAGGACACACATTGAGGAAATCATCAAACTGTGTCACAAAGCAAGCACTAACTTGGAATCCTGAAGGGAAACGGAAAAGAGGAAGGCGAAAGAGGAGAAATGAAGAGGATGAATAGCAACTGGAAAGAATTTCCGAGGACCGAGTTCAATGGAGAGTGTTGGTCAGCAACCTATGCTCCTCAACGAAGGATGGTAAGAGTAAGTAAGTACGAGAATTTTTTATTCTAACAAAAACAAAAGTAATTCAGTAAACCTGTTATTACTATTACCAATTTTATGTATTTCAGTAAACAAGTATCGATTAGTGTATTCGGTTCACAGTAACACTTTTTTTATTATCGATGTTTATAATCCTACTTAGAGATTGTTTGAATCATTTATGAATAAAAATTACTCCAAAATAAATAATAAAACAACTTATTAGTTTAAAACTTACTTCTTTAATATTACCTAAAATATAATTCACTGATACCCAACCATAAAGTCCTTCTTCTGATCCATACAATAAACGAATACGTTCATTTGGTGTTTCAATTTGAAAACCAGACTGTTTAAAATAATGACGAAGTACTGAGAATAAATCTAAACTTCCTAACGGATCTTCAATTCTATAGAGATGATAAAATATGAGAATAAAAAAAAATATTTTTTAAAAGTTCTTTCTATAAGTGATTAACTAATCGTATAAATTTGACTACCGAGGTTATCTGGAACCTGTTTATTTAGTAAGAGGGTGATTTTCACTAGGAATTCAATTTCAAATCATTGAAGGCATCTAAAACTGTTCGCCATGAACATATCACTGTGGTACAGTTCAATATACCGAATGAAAAACATAAATAAAGTGAAATTCAGAGTTTGAATTGAAATCTAAAAATGAAAATTACAATTTAATATAGAGGATTTATTTACTAAATAAATAGGAAAATAACTAATATTGCAGGACATAACAATGATTATTGAATAATGAGGATAACCCTAGCTAGTTTAATATGTGAAAATCCTTAATTAATATTTGTTATTTTAGTTAGTGAGAATTGTTAACTTATTTCAATTATCAGTGTTCATGCTAGTTGGCTGGATTTGAAAAAGTCTAATATGAAATTTTCATTCAACTAAAGTTATGAATATGTAATTTCACTAAGATGCTAGATAGAAAATTTGGGTCAAATGAAGTAAACTTTATACGCATAATATATACGTTACTAGCTAGGCAGTTAAACTCCTGATATTTAAAGTTTCATTTCATGAACTGAATTTCAGTTAATAACTATTGAAAACTAGGAAGAAATTGATTAGCTAGTTCATTCTACTGTGGAACTCCTCGGCAGCGGATATCCATTAACTTACCAGAGATTCAACCTAGAACCAAACTTTGAAAAACTGACATGTCATTTAATGGTTTACATTTCTGACCCTAAGCCATTCATGATAGCGTACGAACATCATCTATTGTCATTAGTGATATTTATCTCATGCTAGATATGGCTTGATTTCTGTACTAGAACTTACTAGTAAGTATGTGATGATGATTATCATAAGGGTTCAGTAGAGATAGTTAGATTTGAAATTAAACATCACTGATTAACTTTGATTGATCAAGAATCCAATATTTGTTTAAATGTTATTTGATTTAAAGCTAAAAACAGAATGCTCTGGACGTAAATTTCGTATTACAATATCTAGTAATGAGCAGGAATTAACACTGAAGAGAAGTCCAGGACTATCAATCAACTGCTCCAAATCATCTAACACTAAAAAAATGTATTATAATACCAAGTTACATAGTTTAGTATGGCCACGTTGTAACTTGGTTTAAAAAACTAAATAATATGATATTGGTCAACACTAAGCGCTCAATAAGTGTTAAAATTAGAACGTTTAAGGTCATCCATTTGTTTGGTAATCAGTAATATTTCAAAAGTATTATATTTCACCAATACGTTTCACTAAATGAATAAGTTAAAAAGTACCTTAAACTAGTTGAAGTATTATGAAAAGTATCTATGTTTGTAGAAAAGCAAAGAAACAATGATCTTGTGACATAAACAATTGATTCATGTATATAATAAAATAAATGTCATTTATTATCTTTCACAAGAGCGCATGAAGTCATGTCATCATCTTCATCTTCATAGCATATCAATAGTTTAACATACGGTAAATTTTATACTTCTATGTGGATCATTTTGACTTTTTGTATACTAACAAGTTAGTTAACAATAACTTTGAAAAAAAAACACAGCAAATAATATTCAATATCTTTGTTTGTTTGTTATATCCGAATGAGTAGAAAAGTCGTATTTTCGACGTTTCGTGATTTAATGTAACCACTTCTTCAGAATAAATAAATAACCGAATTAAATTAACATAAGTCTAAATAATATAAAGGAAACTTTCTATCCAATGTTCAAGTTATTTGAAACTATCAAGTTCAACCTTAGTATTAATTACCTATAAACACAATAAATAGTTTGTACGTATTTAGTGTACATATGTAAAAAAACAATCCAATCTACAATTAGTAAATGAGGTATTCATTTAAAAATTTAAATCGTTTCCTAATTTAATCCTTATAAAGCTTTTCATATATAATGATAATCACCAATTATTGATATGGGATATATATTACAGATTTCTAGTCACTGCCTGTTCTGATGATCATCACTGGTTTATATAGGAGTAGGTTAGAAGTCAGTCAAGGATATCTAAACATATTAATTGTCGTTAGTTAATAAAGTTACTGAATGGTTCGAAAAACAAACAGAATTTCTTGTTGTAGACAGTGTAATAATGTTAAATGATAGTTGGTGACGTTAGGTGACATTTCTCCGAACGAATCAAAGTAACGCAGTTACAATCATTGTATATCGTATTCTAAATCTAGAAGCTTGTGTCATTCCATAACTCTATTACTTCGATTTGACTCGTTGCACTTGAAAAAATATTTCTTATTTTTAGGTTTTCGTTCTAATGGATTATGAATCCTTCTCACAGAAATTTTCATTTTGACTATGTTCTCTCATTCTGTAATAATATGAACTACTGTAACTTAGATCAATATATGTTTTTGAAAGGTATTACATCGGTGATGGTGTGCTGAACGAGAACAAACAATTACAGAACGTTTTAGTAAAATCGAAGAACCATATAGTAAATACTTAATTTGCAAAGTATCAATCAATTGTCTAAAACGTGACTGTTTCTTTTTCAAATATCACAGTCGATCGTCTCAGACTTCACTGCTCCTGCATTTCCATACCAGTGGCTTTCTGTTCCCATTCTTCCCTTCTTGATCTTCTTAATCTTCTGCTGCTATATACTACTTATGTCGATATAAGTAGCACACACAAATTTCTCATACTAACGTAACTGTTTAGTTAAACAAATTAATGACTTTAAAGAGGAAGGATATATTTGTTTAGTCCCAGTGCCTGAATTTGAATTAAATTCAACGTTTCACTCGGCAATCTGGTACAAGCTTTTTCAAGGAAATATGATCAAATATAAAAATTATCGAATATAAACAGTTAACTGTATACTAGATAGGTCAATCAATCATGTTAACGATGTTTAAAGTAAATATTTGCTTTAGTGTATTTGAGACATGTGGTGTGTAATGAAAAGTGTTAAGGTAACAGATTGTGTGTATTCGAGGTATGAGGAGCAAATACTTACTTCAAACATTGTTAACATGATTGATTGACCTATTTAGTATACAGTTAATTGTTTATATTCGATAATTTTGATATTTGATTATACTTCCATGAAAAAGCTTGTACCAGATTGCCGAGTGAAACATTGGATTTACTTCAAATTCGATCTCTAAGATTATATAAACATATTCTTCCTCCCTAATGCCTTATATTAACTCAGTGTCCAAATCCTGTAAAACTATCCGTTCAAATTTAAACCAAAGTTCCTATATTTTAGTGACTGCTTACAAACAGGATTTGAAATTTTATAGGCCATGATGTTGTTTTACTATGCTTCAGGCTTTAACCAAAAGTTTGAAAGTTCGAAACCAATGACTATCTATCTCCGTAAGAGGATTTACAAGTAGGTTTACCAACTTGCACATAAATATCGAGGTTTATAATCAAGTGAATAATTTACGTTGAAATTTTAAAAAAAACCACATTCTGTTCTTTAACTGACAAACTCAGTCAAATTTTGATGACCATAACGGATAGTATTACGGTAGTAGCATAATAACCTGACGACCTTGAGCGAGTTATCAACCAATCAGGAAATGATGTATACTCACGAAACAATTAACACTAAAAAGCCACAAAATACGAGTGGAATAACAGCTTCGATCTGGATAATTAACCCTCATATGCCAAATTCTTCTTTGTAGTAAAGGACAAAGGTCAAGTTTACAGATTAAGAGTCAGGTTAATATTCTAATTTAGAGTTATCACCCTAAAGGGTCATTATCACCATATGAAATCGGCTATAATTTAAAAAGGTTAGATCAAGGTGATAAGATTAAGGCTGGAGTTTTGAGTTGGGGTAACGAATTAGGTTTGGGATTTCCATCACTAACTGATATACGTTATAATGCAACGCTTTGTTACCCTTCTGTTAGCACATTTTAGGGTTGAGATTAAAAAAATGAGTTAGAGAGGAAGAATATTATCTAACTTCATTAAACAGCCTTGACTACACATAGAATCACATTAAACATGCAATCTGTCTTAAGAGCTGTTATGTTTTGTCGTTTAGCGTAAACACCGTTTGAATTTCATATTTTGTTTGGAGCTTAGATATATTTTTAAAAATTAATTCCGAGTATTTTAAGTATCAATCATTGTAAATTCTCATCTAGTTAATAATAATATACAAGTTATCAATCCCTAAACATTCAATTGTGCGCAAAATAAATGAGGAGTTATCTTAATTCTGATTCGCTAACCCAAGGTCATTTTTACTAGTATTACTTTATAAATCTTTAGTGTCTTGATTAGTTCTTTGAGAAACTACATAATGATAAACTATTCAAACCAGAATGAAAACGGAAGGTGGTAAAATAATAAAAATTGGTACAATCTAGTAAAAAAAAAAACTTCCCCTCTATATCAGATAATTTCAAATATGTAACATAGTTTGATTTCTTTTCAATGTTCAAACGACTACCGTGTTCTAATGGATTGGATGTTTTTCTATTTTTTTAAAATTTGATTTGTCTATGCTATGATTAGGTAATCATGGTACATTACCTCTTTCTTTGTAAAAAAAAGTACAAGTAAACTATTAAAAAAAAGAAGAAACTATCAGTTCATTCTCTAATGCTTTTAACTGGACAATACTTTGATGAAACTACACATTCAATGATTAGTGTACTAGTTAACTGAACTCATCTCTATACACTGATAATACTTAATTACATACAGATGATTTATTTAATTGTTATTTAGAAATAAATCTATTTTTATTCACTATTATCCAATAGAGAATCATTTAGAAATCAATTAATGAAAAATATTGGTTAGTTACTTCATCCTAGTTTCAGACAATTCATTAATTAATGTTAATATATACAGGAGATTCAATAGAGAATCTCTCTACATATAAAATTCAAGTTTATCACATTAGTTCTTCCAAT